CAGTGTTTCCCAGTTTTGTTCCGTGTTTCCCAGTGTTGTTCAGTGTTTCCCAGTGTTGTTTAGTGTTTCCCAGTGTTGTTCAGTGTTTCCCTTTGTTGTTCAGTGTACCCTGTGTTGTTCAGTGGTTCTCTGTGTTGTTCAGTGTTTCCCAGTTTTGTTCCGTGTTTCCCAGTGTTGTTCAGTGTTTCCCTTTGTTGTTCAGTGTACCCTGTGTTGTTCAGTGGTTCTCTGTGTTGTTCAGTGTTTCCCAGTTTTGTTCCGTGTTTCCCAGTGTTGTTCAGTGTACCCTGTGATGTTCAGTGGTTCTCTGTGTTGTTCAGTGTTTCCCAGTTTTGTTCCGTGTTTCCCAGTGTTGTTCAGTGTACCCTGTGATGTTCAGTGTTTCCCAATGTTGTTCAGTGTTTCCCTGTGTTGTTCAGTGTTCCCTCTGATGTTCAGTGTTTCCCAGTGTTGTTCAGTGTACCCTGTGATGTTCAGTGTTTTTCTGTGTTGTTCAGTGTACCCTGTGATGTTCAGTGTTCCCCTGTGTTGTTCAGTGTTTCCCTGTGTTTTTCAGTGTACCCTCTGATGTTCAGTGTTTCCCACTGTTGTTCAGTGTTTCCCAGTGTTGTTCACTGTTTCCCTGTGTTGTTCAGTGTTTCCCTGTGTTGTTCAGTGTTTACCAGTGTTGTTCAGTGTTTCCCTGTACTTGGTATTATATTTCTAATCACTTCAACTGAAAATTGGTTTAAAGTGTAAAAATAAGTAACTAAACCTGAAAAAATACCAATGTAAATCTCCTTACATTATAACTTCTTGAGACATAATCTTTTCGCTGACGTTATCTTTTATACAGGGGGACTAGTCATTACAATAGTCTGCTGTGGTCTACTGGCCACCAGACATGCAATTATCATGTTAATTCTATGTTTCCTTCGAGAGTCCTGCATAAACATGCAACAGCAACATTAACGAGAGAAGAAACAAGGCAGTAAGTGTAACATGCCAATGTGGCATGCACAGTTTTAGTATAGGTGTGTGTATTGTCACAAAATCTTGAAAGCTGAATACATACAAGTCTCTGTAACAGACTCACCAACAACACCAACAACTGGACATTCAATTTGGAAAAATAAACATATACTCTGTTTATTTTTCTTCATTGTTGAGATATTTAAAACACCACAAATGTACAACAGCTATCATAGATATAACCCCTTGCAAACAAATTAGTTTTCACTGAAATCTCCTTCATGCTCTTTCCACGTTGAACTTTGCTTGTTAAGTTATCACTAGTCTGGCCCATCATTATGATTGTGATCAGAATGTAATTGGCTGAATTAAGTTAAATAACTTATCGCTCCAGCTGGAAAGGACTGCTGCAGTGGGAAACAGTGTGAGTACTGTTCTGTAAGATGTAAAACATCCAGGGTTGTCTGCCCTTTCTGTATTCGTATATACTCAAACAACATGCAATTAAAAGCATAATGTTACTTTACATTATTGGAATACTTCAATGTGGGCAACAGGTTGATATGGACAAATTTTCTTATACTGTTTATCAAAAATAACAACATTTGTATCAAGGGTCACAAGGTTGAGCTAGGTTAGATTGGAGATGCTGATCATGGCAATTTCTGCTAACGTCCCCAACCCAAATCAGACTTTTCTCCAACCTGAATTTCCTCATATACATAGTGTAATTTTCTATAAGGGTAACTGGAAACACCAACAGTGGAGGTCCTTTATAATGTATACATGTGTATCTGTGTATAGTAAGTAGCACACAACATATATAAATAGCATAACCTGTTTTGGTTTATAATAAAAGTTTGTTATGTACAGCATATTTGGAATGTGGTCATGGATGACGAACTTCCATTGAAAAGAAATTAGGAGAGGTAAGTAAGAAATATTCTGTATAACCATCCGTAACAAAATACATTACCAAGGGTATACAACACTTTTGAAAACTTATTACTACCAAGACAATACATTCTATTTATGGAAGCATTCTATAGTCTGGACATTTAACATATAACATTAAATGCCTTTTTTTTAGATACATATATTTTCAGATTTGAAGTTGAGTACTTACCGAAACGTTGTCACGATGGAGGTAGACTCACGTGAACTGCCACACTATTTATCACGGTGAAGTGGCCATTACACACTCTCCAGGTTGGGGGGTGACGATACCGTGTGCACTCACCTGTAACGTAGGAAAGCGAAGGCCATGGGTTAATGCGTGGTGACGTTAACCTTTCATCTTTTACAATACACTTTCAAACAGCACAGTTCACACTTATAAGAAGAACTGCTACTTCTTTTTCTGTAATTTTGTTTCCTTTGTTGTCTCTATCGAAGTGGGCGTCATTAATTATGTTGTTGTGACATTAGATATTACTAGCTATTAGGTCTTGTCATTCGCCCCAGACCCGTCATTACTCGGGGTGATAATTTAAAATACCAAGGAATTTAGCCGTGAAATCACTTTTTAAGTCTCCTACACGAAGTTTGAGGACTTTTTGTTCTTCAAATAGCATCATTTACGACTGCGGGTGTAGTTTTTGGGGACTTTCGAACTAGTTTGTGAAGAGAGATGATTGCAAATTAAAATCTCAAATATGTCGCCTGAAGCATCTCTCGAAAAAAGAATCGGCGATTACTACCGTTTTCACGCTGCATGTAATTGCAATATTCAAAGATTTCTCAATAATTTGCACTTTGTAAAATGCCTGTTAATGACTAATTTAGCTTATAAGCCCCCTGCACGTTAAATGCAAGACAAAATTCTGTTAAATGTGTCGATTATAAAGGACAAATTTAACTATTTTCGATGAGCTACCGACGGCAACGGTTTGTCGACCTAAATGCAAAGAGAAATATGAAATAGCATTCACTGTGCTTATAACTATCAGTTATGAATTCATTTAAAGTGATATGCTACATGTACTTTATGCATCTCCATTTCTAAAAGAGTTCCACAAAAACCTGCCAAAGTGAATGATGACTCGATCGCACCCACAGTTAGCCGTCAACACCAGTTTATGTGTTCTAACACGTTATTAAAACGAATTGGCCATCATTTTTAATACTTGGTTATTTTACTTATAAACATTGACGGCTTACATGAAAAATAGTCATATCATATTCTTGAAATTAACAAGATATTGAAGAATTCAATTAAAGATGCGGATAAAAATGCAGATATACTGTATAATTATTGTATTTGTCGACTGGACAAGGATTATCATACACAATTTTATAATGATGTTATTGTGATGCTAAGCATTTGAGATGTTCCAGTAAATATATTATTGTTTCGATTCATCGACATCTGTCTGTAGGGTCTGAACATGTATTATAAAGTATGTCAAGAAAAGAGAAAAGAGATGTACATATCAAAATCATGGTTGCAATTTCAGCAGTGTCATATACACAGAAGAAACATGGATTTTACCATTTTTCTTAATGGCATATTTACGTTTCTAAAAGACTGCGATTTGTACAATTATGCTGATGACAATACCCTTTCATATATCAGCAACTGTTCTTCAAACCTTAAACATACTCTAGAAAAAGAAAGCAAATTTTTTCTAAACTAGTTTTCAGCAAATGGTATGAAAGCAAATCCTAGCAAATTTCAAGCCATATGTATAGGGAAAAAAACCTGTGACAACATTAAATCCTTTTCTATTGGAGACCAGGTAATTGATTGTAAAAATAGTGTTACTCTGCTAGGTGTGGAGATGGACTCTTCATTGAAATTTGATGACCATGTAGCTAAGATCTGTAGAAAGGCCTCCAAACAATTAGCTATTTTAAAAAGAAATGGAAATAATCTTACCAAAAAGGGAAAGATCACCATTTTTAAATCTTTTATTTCATCTAATTTCAATTACTGCACCCTAGCCTGGCATTTTTTGTAGCCTCAGAAACACTCGTAAGATGGAAAAGATACAGGAAAGAGCTCTGCGTTTTATTGAAAATGATTTTACCTCACCTGTGATAGATATTTTACGCAGAAACAACCTCACATCTGTACACGTTGTTAGAATGAAGACTATGGCTACAGAAGTCTTAAAATTTTTAAATGGGTTAGCTCTGGAATTTTTAAATGATTTGATTGTTAAAAATAATGTTGAATATAATTTCAGGTACCTAGAGTTAACACAACAAAGTATGGAAAAAAATCTTTTCGCTTTGAGGCTGCCCAAGTGTGCCATATGTAACTCGTCTTGTTTGTTTTCCAACCTTATCATTTCTATACTTAGTTTTTACCATGTCTTGTGATACCATGCTTCTATGCTTTTACTTCCTTTCATTTTTTTTATTAGTGGTCTTTTTTACGCATTGGATGACTTACTCAATGCTTGTCAAATCATCTTTTAATTTATGCTATATTAGCATATATTCGGTCAATTTTAAACTCATGTCATATTGGTATTTATGTATATACTGAACCATGGTCTCTTAGTTTGTAAGCATGTGGCATGAATCTTTTGTGCAGCATCAATTTTAATATAGATTTTTATATATACTTTGTTCTGTACACTACGTGCCAAGTTGTTTTTAATCCTGCATGCTGTGATTTAATAATTTGTTCTTGTCTGTGTATTGTATAAACCTTGCTATATGCCTGTTTGTTTTCTGCGTGTTGCCTTATATATCCTGTTTTTATACCTTTGTTTGTCGTAATAATAGCTCTACAGAGCTAATGTTTCCATTATAACATATACGACTCTAAATAAAAATGCTTGTATCTTGTATGGAATGCGTCGACTCTGTCGCCTTGTTTGGAACACAGGAGGTCTTGTTAGCAATTACAAGCACATCAATTAACGCACGAGTTAGACTATTCGATTTTTTATATTTTGAAAGGAAACACATTAACGTCAGTAATGTACTATACATAAAAATATACATTAAGAATTACAAACAATTATCTGCGCGAAAATAACAATCGAGTTTAAGATATTCTATAACAGTCTCTCTTTTTGAAATGTTTATCCATTTAGTACGATACAGTTGTCGCCCTTGAACACACAACATGGCAGGTTCCCGGTTGCCACCGGAGAAGCTGAAACATGCTATGTCATTATCTAGGGTAAGTACGTGTATGTTGCCGTTTTAAAAAGGGTCATGTAAGTATTAATATCTACAGATCCCACCAGGATATACAAAAATCCGGATGCAAGTCGTATAACAAAGAGGGGAACAGCCTATTCATGTCATCGTCACTGCTGCGCTGGACGTAGGTCCTACCGATACACGAAGTTACTGGAAAGTTGTACCTAGCCTTCTATCGATAGTCAAGTCAACGGTATACTGCTAATATTGAACGTATGAGTTTAATTTTGTGAACCGATATACATGACGAGAGGTGTATTTGCTCAAATAGTAACATGAAGTTATGATCGGACGTTCAAACGAAGGTCAGACTTCCTATTATTTCATAGGAGTTGCTTCCCTTGACACACTCGTTAAAGTTAGGCCAACGTAATCGGGAACTATCGTCATGTGCCTCTTTTCTTAGGTAGCCTTATGACTTGAGCTAGATAGTCTTACATTCATATCTAAATAACATGCAGTTAAGATTTTATGGGAATTGATAATTTGTTACTGTCTTCTGATAGGCTAGATCAACCAACATGTTTTTCTTATGCCCGACAGTCTATTTTGGTTGAGGCCAGGGGAGTGTCCTTGTAGGATGCATGTTGTAGAGTAGGATTTATGTAATTTTATCCCTTGCCTGTTTAGGTTATTGGTGGTGTGGTTTTTAACTTTGTAGTTCATGCTGCGGTCCCAGGTACTGAAGTTGTACAGAGACATGATGCGGATTGTGTATAATCTACCTGACCTCGACCAGCGCAAAGCTCTCAAGGACTTCATCCGCCACGACTTCGAATGTAATAAAAATGTTGAGGATGAGGTAAGATTCTTGAGTCGTAAACAGTTCTAAAATCTACTTCAGTACTTTTCCTTATGTTCCACCGAACATATTCCAACAGGTGTTACCGTATTTAGCTTATCTTATAATTCCGACCATGTATTTGCGGTTAGGTCAAATAGATGTATGGCAGGTGTTTTTCGTTTTCCATCTGAGGATTTATTGTCATTCCTTTCATATTGTATTACTATAACTAACTCGATCACATTGACATTTTAATTCTTGATTGTGTTCTGTTTATTTTACAGGAGGCCATTAAAATGTTTATCAGTAAAGGAAAAATATCTCTCAGAGAGCTCGAAAATACCGTTCCTAGGGGAAAATGACAACATTATTTCAAAAAAAATCTATACACAAAGGAAAACAGGAGAGATGGCAATGAAAGTCTCATACAGAACCAAACCAGATGACTGTCCATTCATGATGTCTGACACAAGCCTAGGATCTGGCCAATCATAACATCTGATACAAATAAATAACGTCTGGTACAAGCCAAAAGTCAGGCCAATGAAACGTCCGATAAATAGCCATAATATCACAACACATTAAGCCAAGTCTTCATGATAAATGAGAATTAAGCTGGGCTTGCGACAGAATGTGAGGTTATTGGGGCGTGTCACAGAAGCTAAATCCTTAAACTTGGAGACCAACAGGAAAAGAAATTGGAAAGATCTGAATGGAATGTTTCAGATGACGAAAAAGGAAAGAATATGAAATGTATGAAATGTATTGATTTAGTGACAAAATGGAAGGGAATATTTTCAGCCCAAAGGCAATGACGTGAGGTGACCTTGACACCATTTAGCTGTCAGTCCATTTATCGTGTGTAATTTTCTGTGAAGGTCTTGGTCCAAAGGTTTTTTTTATAAAGAAAAACGGAAGTGCAAGAGAAAATTGAAATATGTGCATGTTCCAAATAACTTCAAGCATCTCGTTTATTTTCATATCCTTAATTTTTATACAACTTCATTACCAAATACTGGTATATGTGTATGTATTTTGTTATTAAAATTACATAAAATAGCTACATGTGTTAAAAATTGTATATGTTATTGGTTTTTTTTTCTTCTTTCCTTTGCAAATCCCACCTTGTCTTAATTGTAGGGGGATGCCATGTTGAAATGATTTTAGGAAGGTATTTACCTGCAGACAGACTGGATCATGTCCAATTGTCTTCGGTAATGGGCAACTAGTTTCAATAACATTGTCCACATGTTTTCATGGTTATAAATCATACACCGAGGTCAAAGATAGCAATGAAACCGATATACCAGATGTCGTAACTTGATGGTTGTCTGTTGGTGGTTACATTTAATATTTCCACAAATGTAGGTTACTTGCAAATTGTTTTTTTCCATTCAATTTCAATAAGTGTTAACACTAGTACAGGCTTTAATTGGACAGTTTGAATGTTTCAGGCTTTAATTGGACAGTTTGAATGTTTCAGGCTTTAATTGGACATTTTGAATGTTTCAGGCTTTAATTGGACAGTTTGCTCATTGTGTAAAAATAACCACGTATACAAACAGTTGGTGAACATTATCAGATCACACAAAACATGTCGTCCGTCGGACTGGAACAGAAAATGGCAGTCCCTTATCTAAGCTCATGACGATGGATATATTATAATTGAGGGCAAAGTCAATTTAAGTTGTCGCATGCTTAAATAGTCGCTCGCACTTAATGTTTACACGTTTTATCAAATTATCTTAACTAGCTTCGCCTGTCATGATTTTCATGGCCTTTAAGATATTACCCCAAACGTAAGTTGAATTAAAAATTAAAATCAATTTTATTTATCTTGGGATGACGATGCTTACCCTTGAAGTAGATCCGTTTTTGTGTCGCCTGCAACCCTATCGGCGTTGTGGTCGGTTGCGTCGTCCGAAACACGGTTTCCGTGCCATAACGTGAGTTCCCTTGGTTTGATTTAACTCAAACTTGCATACCAATATAGCTAGTGGAGTTATGCCACTTTTATTACAAATGAGGGCATTGTGAAGTAAATGCAAGAACTTTTTTTTATTTTTCAATCAATCCCTTTAAAATTTTGTACGGTAATGCTAGAAGCAATAATGTCGAGTTCAAACTTTCTGTGTTTTGGCATATCACACTTGACATAGCAACGCTGTTCATCGTTTTTGCCGTTAATTTTTGCTTGTTTACGGGATAACTCAAACAATTGTTCTTCAATTTTTGTCAAACTTGATGGGATGTTTCATTACCTGAATGTTTTGGATGAATTTTTAAATCGTGATATTTAAATGCTATTCGGCAGAGTTTTGTCCCTTTTTCATTGCGGGGCTTTGCTCCTTTCCTTGCCTAATAAGGGCATCGTGTAGTAAATGCAAGAATGTTTTTTATTTGTTAATCACTTCCTCTTAAATTTGGTATGGTAATGCTAGAAGCAATAATGTTCAACGTATATTATGGGTTTTTCTGTCGAGTTTCAACTACGTTCCGCGTTTGCGTATCACACTTGACATAGCAACATTGTGCTTATTTTTTTTGCCGTTAACTTTTCCTTGTTTACACTCTAGTTTTTATTAAACTACTTGGTTGTTCCATTACCTGAATGCTTTGAATGAGTTCTTTAAAAATCTTGACATTTAAATGCTATTCGACAGAGCTATGTCCCATTTTCATTGCCAAATAAGGCAATTCTGTCGAAAATGCAAGAACGTTTTAATTATTTGTTCAAGACTCCTACCTCAAAACCAAGGTTCTAGTTTTAGTAATAGCAACATCGACAACGAAAATGTAATTCTGAAACACAAAATAGCTTGCGCGATAAACACAGTAAATGAATGGCAAGGTCACAGTCACCAACAAAACGGTGACAGTAAACACATTTATATCAACTCAAGTTTCTTTAGGTTGATCAGGCTCAGACTTCATACTGTGCTTTCTTACCTATAGTGCTGGCTTGGGATTGCTTTTCAGGTCCGAAGGTCTAAGGTCAAGGTCACCATTGCTATAAATAGAAAATCTAGTTTCCGTGCGATTAAATGAGTTCCTTCAGGTTGATTGAACTCAATTGTATACGGTACTTCATTACTAAAAGTGCTGGCGTAGGATTACTTTTCAGGTCCAAAGGTCAAGGTCACCGTTACTATAAATAGAAAATCTGTTTCCGTGCAATGACTTGAGTTTCTTTAGATTGATCGAGCTCAGACTTCATACAGTGCTTCCTTGCTAATAGTGCTGGCGTAGGATTACTTTTCAGGTTCAAAGGTCAAGGTCACCGTTACTATAAACAGAAAATCTGTTTCCGTGCGATGACTTGAGTTTCTTTAGATTGATCGAGCTCAGACTTCATACAGTGCTTCCTTACCAATAGTGCTTGATTGGGATTGCTTTTCAGGTCCGAAGGTCAATGGCCAAGTTCATCGTTCCTTTTAATAGAAAATCTGTTTGCGCAGACGAGACATCCATTCCTGTGGAATTAAGATTACATGAGCTGAAGTTCTTTAAATGAAGAATAACCATTGAAATATTTGACCTTGCTGTCGACCCTTCATTGATTTCGCCGCCTCTGCAGTAAATTAGCTAAGAATATGAAGACATTTTATGTCGTCCACTCTTAAATAACAGACATATCACTGGATATATGTCATATGTCCTCCGGTGAGAGTTTGATTTTGCAATGTAATGAAAAACATGATGACAATTAATTAATACTGAAATTTTGGAAATGCGAAGCCTTAGTTTCCATAAAGAAAATCCCTGTTTACTGACTCGAAGGGTACACGTAACGTCTTTGGATCTCCTCCAGCACTATATGTACGGAAATCATGATATGCCAATAACCATAAACGTATTATAACTTGTGGTGGGAATCGGTTGAAATTTCAAAAGTGATGGTTAGTTTAATGAAAATTTAAATCTGTGCGATCCATATCATAAATAATGCAGTTTGAGAACATTAATGCAGCAATTTATATTTAAACTGAACTCCTTTATTGCAATAGTATTGCGTACTGAAGTGTCAACGCTTCACTACGCTTAGGCAACTGTACTGTAGGCCTTCTGTACAACGCTTAGGCAGTTGTACTGTAGGCCTTCTGTACAACGCTTCACTACGCTTAGGCAACTGTACTGTTGGCCTACTGTACAACGCTTAGGCAGCTGTATTGTAGGCCTACTGTACAACGCTAAGGCAACTGTACTGTAGGCCTTCTGTACAACGCTTAGGCAGCTGTACTGTAGGCCTTCTGTACAACGCTTAGGCAACTGTACTGTAGGCCTACTGTACAACGCTTAGGCAGCTGTATTGTAGGCATACTGTACAACGCTAAGACAACTGTACTGTAGGCCTTCTGTACAACGCTTAGGCAGCTGTACTGTAGGCCTTCTGTACAACGCTAAGGCAACTGTACTGTAGGCCTATTGTACAACGCTTAGGCAGCTGTATTGTAGGCCTTCTGTACAACGCTTAGGCAGCTGTATTGTAGGCCTACTGTACAACGCTAAGGCAGCTGTACTGTAGGCCTACTGTACAAAGCTTAGGCAGCTGTATTGTAGGACTTCTGTACAACGCTAAGGCAACTGTACTGTAGGCATTCTGTACAACGCTAAGGCAACTGTACTGTAGGCCTACTGTACAACGCTTAGGCAGCTGTACTGTATGCCTTCTGTACAACGCTTAGGCAACTGTACTGTAGGCCTACTGTACAACGCTTAGGCAGCTGTATTGTAGGCCTTCTGTACAACGCTAAGGCAGCTGTACTGTAGGCCTTCTGTACAACGCTTAGGCAGCTGTATTGTAGGCCTTCTGTACAACGCTTAGGCAGCTGTATTGTAGGCCTTCTGTACAACGCTTAGGCAGCTGTACTGTAGGCCTTCTGTACAACGCTTAGGCAGCTGTACTGTAGGCCTTCTGTACAACGCTTAGGCAGCTGTACTGTAGGCCTTCTGTACAACGCTTAGGCAGCTGTACTGTAGGCCTTCTGTACAACGCTTAGGCAGCTGTACTGTAGGCCTTCTGTACAACGCTTAGGCAGCTGTACTGTAGGCCTTCTGTACAACGCTTAGGCAGCTGTACTGTAGGCCTTCTGTACAACGCTTAGGCAGCTGTACTGTAGGCCTTCTGTACAACGCTTAGGCAGCTGTACTGTAGGCCTTCTGTACAACGCTTAGGCAGCTGTACTGTAGGCCTTCTGTACAACGCTTAGGCAGCTGTACTGTAGGCCTTCTGTACAACGCTTAGGCAGCTGTACTGTAGGCCTTCTGTACAACGCTTAGGCAGCTGTACTGTAGGCCTTCTGTACAACGCTTCACTACGCTAAGGCAACTGTACTGTTGGCCTTCTGTACAACGCTTAGGCAACTGTACTGTAGGCCTACTGTACAACGCTTAGGCAGCTGTATTGTAGGCCTTCTGTACAACGCTTAGGCAGCTGTACTGTAGGCCTTCTGTACAACGCTTAGGCAGCTGTACTGTAGGCCTTCTGTACAACGCTTAGGCAGCTGTACTGTAGGCCTTCTGTACAACGCTTAGGCAGCTGTACTGTAGGCCTTCTGTACAACGCTTAGGCAGCTGTACTGTAGGCCTTCTGTACAACGCTTAGGCAGCTGTACTGTAGGCCTTCTGTACAACGCTTAGGCAGCTGTACTGTAGGCCTTCTGTACAACGCTTAGGCAGCTGTACTGTAGGCCTTCTGTACAACGCTTAGGCAGCTGTACTGTAGGCCTTCTGTACAACGCTTAGGCAGCTGTACTGTAGGCCTTCTGTACAACGCTTAGGCAGCTGTACTGTAGGCCTTCTGTACAACGCTTAGGCAGCTGTACTGTAGGCCTTCTGTACAACGCTTAGGCAGCTGTACTGTAGGCCTTCTGTACAACGCTTAGGCAGCTGTACTGTAGGCCTTCTGTACAACGCTTAGGCAGCTGTACTGTAGGCCTTCTGTACAACGCTTAGGCAGCTGTACTGTAGGCCTTCTGTACAACGCTTAGGCAGCTGTACTGTAGGCCTTCTGTACAACGCTTAGGCAACTGTACTGTAGGCCTTCTGTACAACGCTTCACTACGCTAAGGCAACTGCACTGTTGGCCTTCTGTACAACGCTTAGGCAACTGTACTGTAGGCCTTCTGTACAACGCTTAGGCAGCTGTACTGTAGGCCTTCTGTACAACGCTTAGGCAGCTGTATTGTAGGCCTTCTGAACAACGCTTAACTACGCTTAGGCAGCTGTACTGTAGGCCTACTGTACAACCCTTAAGCAGCCGTATTGTAGGCCTACTGTACAACGCTTTGGCAGCTGTATTGTAGGCTTTTTGTAAAACGCTTAACTACGCTTAGGCAGCTGTACTGTAGGCCTTCTGTACAACGCTTTGGCAGCTGTATTGTAGGCATACTGTACAACGCTTTACTACATTTAGACAGCTGTCCTGTAGGCTTACTGTACAACGCTTAAATACGCTTAGGCAGCTGTACTATAGGCATACTGTGCAATGCTTAACTACGCTTAGGCAGCTGTACTGTAGGCCTACTGTACAACGCTTAACTACGCTTAGGCAGCTGTACTGTAGGCCTAGTGTACAACACTTAACTACACTTAGGCAGCTGTACTGTGGGCCTACTGTACAACGATTAACTACACTTAGGCAGCTGTACTGTAGGCCTACTGTGCAACGCTTAACTACGCTAAGGCAGTTGTACTGTAGGCCTACTGCAGAATTGGCTTAGTTTGGTCTGGGTTTTTTCCAAACAGCCAAGGGTGAATGTATTTATTTAGTAAATAACTTAAATAATGACCTACCTGGTTGGTACTCTCTATCCAGTTTGAAATTTTGTTCCCCAGTGATATACCAAGTACGTGCCAATATGACACAACGTGACATACATAAACGACAATTTATGAAAGAAAATTAACTGCAAGAAATCTATTTCTTTAAATCTTTATTAAATTGCTATTACAATGTAGTTCAAAGTCTGTAGATAAAAAAAGGTTCTGATTGGGAAACATTGGTTAACAAGCTCTTTGATATAATTATGTTTAAATGTTACTATATATGGCACTGATGTCACACACACCGACGATTCCAACGACAAAGGGACGTAATACACACCAACAATTCAAAAGACAATGTTTCGTCATACACACCAACAATTCAAACGACAATGTGACGTAATATACACCAACAATTCAAACGACAATGTGTCGTCATACACACCAACAATTCAAACGACAATTTGTCGTCATGCACACCAACAATTCAAACGACAATGTGTCGTCATACACACATGATGTCATACACACATGATGTCATACACACATGATGTCATACCACCAACACATTATAACGACAATGTGACGTCATACATACCAATTATTCAGAACATCAATGTGATGTAATACAGACCAAAAATTCAACACACCAATGTGATGTCACACACAGCAACTCTTTTCAACAATGTAACGTCATACACTCCAACAATTCATTACAAAACTGTGACGTCGTAGTTCGTCAACGTCATACCATATATCAAACACAGCAACAACTTATAGGTAAAAACAATTAAAAACCTCAAAGCAAATGTCAACTAAAATATTTTTTAAGACAACATTTTTTGGTTTCAATATGATCAATTTAATTTGTGACATTGTCCCAGTTAAACAAAACATATAAGCAATATATTAAATTTAGATAAGTCTCGCGTTCATTTTAGCAGCAACAATTAATAATGGAATTCAGAAGCTTATGATTATGGTAAAACAATTCGCGCCCGGATAAAAATAAGTTACAAAAACCCGGTTAAAACTGTTTGGAAGACGAGAATTATCCTGTGATACAGACATGCATATATATATACATTGTTATGTTCTATAACGTTTCTGTTATACCTACATCACTCACACACACTCTATCACAACACATGATAATCTCACAGGAGTTTTGATTGTCGCTCTTAAAGCATTAACACATGCCTATTTCTTCAAATGGTTCGAAAAGAAACACATTCTGTCTATGTAATATAATGAACCTGAAGATCTATGAGCTAATGTGTAGTACGAATATGGTCGGATTATTGAGGAGTCCTCGTATGATATTGCAAACTATCGAAATTTCGAAAGTGATATTGAACAGCTGCATTGAGTCTTGCACTGCCTCACCAAATATGCTCCTTCCCTGTGGTTTGGAAAGCCATTTCATCCCCTGGGATTGGGATAGTCACGAGGTTGGATGCAAAGAGTCAACACTCAGCTGGCGACCTCTCCAATCATCTTGATTTCACTAGACCACCAGACTTAACTGGAAGTCTTTAGCTCGTCATTAATTCTCACGTCGTTTCGTCACTATCATAAATAACAGTGTCAACATTGTAGAGACTGGACACGATGTATTACTCGTCACAAATTCAGCTCTTCTGGTTCCGGTTTCTCCTTTGACGCCTTTTTCTATTCCTCCTGCCCTTATTCTTTCTATCTTTAACCCCTCCGTCTCTCATCATCTTTTCTTTAGATGAACGGGATGGGTGTCTGTGACCTCGATGCTTGTGTCTGTCAGGTTTATTCCTTGCCGATTCCCGTTGTTCCGTGTTGATCACCACATCATAAGTGTCTTTGTCTCTAGTCTGGCGCTCCTGCACATTTGTGTTTACACTTCTGTTGTTATCACTTTCCCTATTATCGGGGTTTTGTTTATCCGGACTGTCTACATTGTCATTATTACCAACATTGTCAGCATTTACTTTGGCTGCCTGCGCGCATACGCTGACGTCACAATACCCCCAGGTCTCCTTGAGTTTGTTGGTGAAGCACCAGGGTCGGTTCCTTCTGAGAGACATAGGGTTCCGACAGTAGTTGTGGGGACCTATCCCGTCCTTATCCTCCTCCTCGGCGTCCGAGTCGACAAGTTTGTGATCGTGGGGGTAGTGGGAAGTCCAGTTCTGGCACGTGATCCCGTCACGTGTGTGATCCAACGTCCCACGGTAGTCTCGCCCATCAGGGTGCTTTCCCTTGATGCATTTACCTATAACATATACAGCGAAGCATTGTTTCAGTGAAGACTTTCACAGAAGCTACATCGTTTATGTTTTATCAAAAATTACAGGAATGTATAGTAATGTCTGTTTCCTAGAGACACCTATATCTGTCATAATAAGTACAATCAACGGCAAATTGTATCACATACTACAAACACTGACATGCACATCAGTCAATGTGGTGTACCTTATTACCTGCAAAAAATGCAATTTACAGTACGTGGGCGACACCTGCACCCAGCTCAATATCAAAATCAACAACCACCGCTGCTCCATCAAGCAGAACAAACCAGACTTCCCTGTGGCAAGGCATTTTAATATGCCTAGCCACAGTTGGAAAGACATGCAGGTTGTTGCCATAGATCATTGCCCTTCATGGGACGAGACGAGACGACGAACGAGAGAACGGTTTTGTATCACCAATCTACAAAACCGCTACCCGCGAGGTATGAACGAAAGATAGGCGGTTGTCGTCCGCTCGTTTTCCTTCCAGGGGGCATTTGACCTAATTGTGCATTACTGCACAGTTGGTCTGCTATCTCGCCTGCCTGCTGCTGCATGTCAGTGTGTGTGACCAACAGCCCTTGTCAGATTAATTTTGCAGATTTATACAGTATCTTAGCCATTTCATCTACTTATTCCTCCTGCACTCACTTATTTGATAATTACATACATTATTCCTGCAAACCGAAAGAGGCGACTAAGTGTGGACCCCCCCTGCTGTGACTGTTAAATCCACTGCAGAATTGAGAGGCCACTAATGGGGGCATTCTGTAGGAAATTGAGATTTTTCACATTTACCGGGCCAGACTGATTCCCACATGCACATGTTCCACGTTTTTGATATCTCGTCCCTTCTTTATGGTGCTTATCTCTCGTTGACTCACTTTATGTGATAGTGCATCTTGCGCAAGAATAGGTCCTCTACATCAGCGTTCCTTGTCCGCGATGCTCTCAGCTTAATTGCTGCCTTCGGCTGTCTTTAGCCGAGGGGACTATTGGTTTTATATAATAGCTATATTTTCAATTATAGTATATCAGTTCTATCTTCTTGTAATATGATGTATATGTACATGTAACTGTTCTGTTTCACTGTGTCTTGATAAAGGAGCGGATCGCTCCGGAAATTTGACAACCTAAACTTGTCCACACTGTTGGAATTACTTCTTTGCCCCATATACTATTTTAAGTAATTCGTATCTTACGGACATACCTCCATTAGGATCCAGTGTTATATGGGATTTTACCGTCTATATTACTTCTTTGACCCATGTCATAATAAGTAATATATACATACATTGTATATTGGGCTTGCTTTGCTAGACAGATATTTATAACATATATATTAAGACTTACGTTTTGCAGGTCTCTCGCATATGTAGGGGTAGGCATATTTCGGCAGTTGTTTCGCCGACCCAACCCAGTCTCCCTTCCATTCCAAGTCTTTTGTCTTCGCATTCATCCTCAGAACTAGGGACGTGTACGTTCTAGGGTCAAAGGTGAACCAGTCTAAGCGGAAGTCGAGTTTCTGCAAGTCACTGATGTCTCCCTGGTCCCAGTAGAATGTATCGTTGATGCGCCGTCCACCCGTGCGCCACTTCCGGATATTGGGGAAGTTCTGTTTGATGTGTTTATTAAGAAACTTGTCTTCGTACTCATTGTCCACAGCTACAAGGTGGCCATTGTACTTCTCACAGTGCTTCTGGGCTCCCGCGAATTGCATTTTGGGATTTCGGACAAATAGGTAACAGCTGGTCTTGAACTTTACCCAACCTTCAGGGCAGACTGGAAAATAAAACGTTCACATAAACTCATGGCGTTACCTAAGATGGTGTTTCTATTTTTGTCCTTTATCATTGTCTTATTATTGGCAAAACGATTTAAGCACATGTGATTAAATAATATAAACATGTATTTGAGTTGTTTCCCCTGTTTCGAGATACTAGCAGAAAATTGGGAGAATCTCAAATGTTTATTTATGATCAGTGTAAGTACAGTATTCACCTGTTGACTTGTCTCTTTATAAAACCGTTAGAATTGTGATAGTTAGAGGGTAAATTGTTTTACCTTTTCCATTGTTATTAAAATGTGTGATGTGCTTGATGTGTTTGATATTTAGACAGTTATGTGTATATTACAACTAAATGGGCGCTGTTACAGATTGAAAAATCAATAAGTTAAAAACGGGTTAGGTCTGGTCGGTTTTGGACTCTCACTTGTTTCATTCTTGTCCTGCTTTTGGTTACAGAAGTACATGTCCCTCAGCTGAGCAATGTCGATTTCGCTCATTCCATCTCTCTGTCCTATAGCCAATTTCATATCCTTCCCAATACCAATAACCTGTAAAGAAAAGTAATACAAATAAGTCCACTGACATACCAATAACCTGTAAAGGGAGGTAATACACAAATAAGTCCACCAACACATCAATATTCAATTTCAATTTCAATGTTAAAAAGTTGAATCAAAACGTGTTCCTAGACGTAACTGGCTGTAACACATGCTTAAAACAGAATATGCTTTTCTGAACATAATAAAAGCACGCACACCTGTACGCCACGAAGTGACGATAACTTTTGTAAATTTATAAATGGAGGCGGCTTAAATTTGAAGAAAGTGAAAATTATAAGTGATTCAAATACTGCAATCACTAACTTATTGCTAGCTCCACAAACTTACTCTGATTGTTTTCCCGCCATTTTGGGTGAACGTGCGGTCCTTGTAATGCATGATACTTTTATAGTCATACGGAAACCCTCGGGGTTTAGACAGCGTCTCGTTGATAGCCAGGAAATCCGGGACATAGCGAGGGGAAATGTTGGGATACACTATCTGTACGTACTCGTCACGGTCCGGGCGAGCCTGGGAGAAGAAAGCATGGTCAAATATAGGTAAAACATAAAAACATGGTCATGCACCGGTAAAACATAAACATAGTCAGTCACAAGTAAAATATAAACATAACATAAGACGAACGTTTTTACAGATAATCTGTGATGTCGATTAAGGCTCATGTCACTATTATGGATACAACTAACTTCTCGTTGTCACTTTCCACAGACAACGAATCCATCTTTGTGTCATTAGTATAGCATGAAGAGTTGGTTTTACTTGTAGTAGAAACCCCAAATAAATTAAAGTTTCCCACGATTCCGCACAAAATTCTGCGATGGTAATGTAAGAGAAATACGCTTGCCTCCATTCTACAGTACCATTAAATGTTTTATACGGCGGAAAAATAATAATGCCGACCAGTTCTTGTAGTAATGAAGTGTAAGATATATATCAAGTCAGTCAGGGGACCAATTAGACACGAAAACACCTCACGATACGTAAACCGTAATTACTTAAACACATACACCTCTCGCGGAAGAACGCACGGAAAAATAAATATTTCGCGCTGGAGACCTGTGTTTGTTCAGGATAACTGCAAAGAAGACATCAAAAGATGGTAAAGTTTGTGTAAGATGTTCTAATTAGTGTGCGGATACTTAAAATTTTAGTTTTGGTAAAAAATATCTTTCGGAATCAAATTTTGAAGTATTATTTTTACTATATGTATATTCCCGAACCAGTATTGCGTCCCCTCCCGACCCTGTGTTACCAGTTATATTGTCCCTCCCTCCCAACCTTGTGTCACCAGTAATACATTGTAATATCCCTCCCTCCCGACCCTGTGTCACCAGTAATACTGTCCCTCCCTCCAGACCCTGTGATAACAGTTATATTGCCCCCCCTCCCCC